CTATTGCAGTTGATATACTGGAGACCATAACAAAAGCAACGTATAACATCAAAACCAACCATCTGAACTATTAGCATTGTTGCTTTACTCTTTTTTCGTGGTTAAGTCTCCTTCAAAAAATTTAGTTTGATTTTAGAAAATTTTGCTTATGCAGTCCTGTCTTGCCACCAACGCGTTCAGTAGATGGAGATGGCAGAGGCGAAGGCTATTTTTGAGTTGTTGTTGGTTTAGGGATCGGTTTGTGAAGAAGATGGAGAAGAGAGGGGGATAACTATTTTCTCCGACAAAAATGGAGTGAAGAAAGGAATTATGATCACTAAGGATATGGTTATCTTACATAACGGTCTCTATTATGTTTGAATTGAGCTTGGGAGGCAGTGATAAGGACGAGCTGCAACCAATTCACAGTGATAAGAGTGCTATGAACTGTGATCATGTCTTATTTCAAGTTAGAAGGTAGTTTCAGTATAAGGATTATTTAATTTGACAAGTTGTTTCGTCCATGATTCTTGGTAGTTTCAGTGTCATTCTAGCCATTGTTTAGTCTGTAATTTTTGAGAATTGATGTGCGAGTAATGGCTTTCACTTAGACTATCCACAATGGTGGAAGGGAAAAAAGGAAAAAAAGGATGGGAAAAGTGGGAAAAAAGGATGAGAGAAGGATAATGGCCACAATAGGTGGTAGGGAAAAAAGGGTATTGAGGAGGGGTTTTTTTTTTTCAAAATCAATCTAGAGTTGATATGGTAACTTTATTTTGATAATTTATTCATTATTTTTATATAGGTAGTATTAATTAATTAAGACGAACATTTCGATATAATTTTTTTTTAATTTGGACATAAAAAAATTTATCACTAAAATCCAATAACTCATAAAAATCCAATAAGAAAACCATAAAACAATTTTTAAAAACAAAAAACAAAAAAAAACCCACCCACATGGTCCCCCCTTCCCTTCCTCCTCCCACCCACCTGGACCCACTTCCCCTCCTTCTTTTAACCTCTAGCGCAGGATAAACCCTCCCCTTCTTTCCCTTTTATCCTTTTTTTCCATAATACCCACCCCTATTGTGAGCCATCTTCTCCTTTTTTCCCCTTTTATCCTCTTTTTCCCTTCTTGCTGTGGACAGTCTTAGCTTCAACTATTATGTGTGCATTTATTGGCATGTGATAGAATTCTCTTTTCCTTTTCTTTGAATTCAGTTTCATACTCTAATTGTATCATTTGTACATAGGCAAATAATGCTCGAGATGACAACTCGCTGATATGGCTGGTGCAAGAAATGAAGCCATCATTAGAATTCAGACCGACAACGGGGAGGGATGCCCAGGACTAATTGAATGATGATTGATGATGGTATAATAAAAACTACAGTCTGCATCAGCACCAATTTCTAGGCCTAAGTAAAGTTATTCAACCCAGAACTCTGCTTAGCGCTAAAAATTGCCCCACCCAACCTTGATCCGGTTTGACCCACTTCTGAAGAGTCAAGATATATGACTAATCCTCTCCGTTCGTATTTTCTTATTGAATCTTTCTGACCCTTTAGGTTGAGACGGGTCGGGAAAAATCGGATTAGTGGGTCGCTCCTAATCAAGTGGAATCCCAATCCCTTCACTCTCACTTGCTTTCTCTCCCATTCCACAAGTGGGTAACATACAGTAATCCGGCCAACGGGCCGGGTAATAAGCTAGTAACTTAAAATAGCAACAAATGCAGCATTTGGTTTCTTGGTTCTGCCGCAACATTTGACGACAAGGCAGGCGCGTTGCTTGACAAAACGAGGCCCATGCCCTGGCCCAGGCCCACGGATAGTTCGAATTGGATGGTCTCAGAGGGCAAAAGCCCAGCAGTAACTAGTAGTATAAAATTCCCGTCGATCCTTCTCTTCTCGGAAAGACTACCGCTAGAGCTTATCGTGGAGCATTTGAGTTGGAGCAAACTGAGCAACTACGAAGATGAGTCCAATCTCTGTATCGAAAGCTGCTGCAATCTTCTTCTTCTTCTTCGTGGCTCTGTCTTCCTATGGTAACTAGGCAGTAATCTCACACAGCTTTGTTTAGATCTTTCTATGGGTCAACGATTTCGCTGTTTCAGCTTTCTGATCCGCCACAGTCGGTTCCCCTTTCCCCCCTTTCCTGATTGTTAATGTTTTTCTTCCGTTCTGCTCATCTTGATCCCTCAGTTCACGCGAAGAAGTCCGGTGATGTAACAGAGCTACAGATTGGCGTTAAGGTACTACTACTTCTTCTTTCTGCATCTATGTTCCGCGATTTATGACTCCTGTGTTTTGGGTACAAAAGGCGGATTAGATGCAAAGATGCAGCAAAGAAAACATCAATTGTAGGAGTCAGGGTTAGGATCTGAGCTTGTACTTGCGCATAATGAAGCTCAATTTGTGCTGATGATGGTTAGGAGTATATGTTAGGAAGCAACTTAGGGTTGCTCGTAAATTAGAATGCATAATACTGGTTGTTATTGTTGTTCTTATGTTTGCTACTACGCATCTGGCAGCACAAACCCGAGACTTGCGAAATTCAGGCACATAAGGGGGACAAGATCAAAGTACACTACCGGGTGAGTTTAAGTCTGTTTGGTCTTTCCATTTTCTGCTTAGTAATGGGTGTCTATAGTTCTACAACTTTTCTGTAATATGCATCTTCAATTAATCAATCAAGTTAGTTATTCTCTGCTGTTTGTGAGTTTGATGGATTTTCGTTGCCTGTTTAATAGTTTCGGGCTTTAAGACATCCTTTTTCTTTGTGGTTGTTGGCTATTACATGTTAGAGAAATCATGAGCTTTTCTTGAATCCTGCTAATTTGGTGGTAATGAGTTGAGCTCTCTCTTCAACCTATTATTTACCCATCTATAGTTTTGTAATATGCTCTAGGGTACATCATGCGTATGTCGATTCATTATGCCAGAATATAACCGGTTAGCAAATGAGGAATCAAACCCTTAGTATCCTGGTTTCCTGACAAGGTTTATCTTTCAGCTAATTCATGGTTCTGACTGAAGATTAGGCGTTCCTTTTTCTAGGATTCTCTTCGTTGCTGGAGTCTCCTATTCGAATGTGGTTTCATGACTCATATATTATTAAAATTTGCAGGGGAAACTCACCGATGGCACTGTTTTCGACTCCAGCTTTGAAAGGGGCGATCCCATTGAATTTGAGCTTGGCAGTGGTCAAGTTATCAAAGGTCTAACTTTTGGTGCTTTACTGCATGACTTGTTTCTTTACCATTTATCTATAAACCATCATCACTTGGAGTTGCCTATTGATTTTTTTTTTGTTCCAGGATGGGACCAAGGACTATTGGGAATGTGTGTAGGTGAGAAGCGGAAGTTGAAAATTCCATCAAAGCTCGGTTATGGTGACCAGGGCTCTCCCCCAACCATTCCAGGTACTTCTATTCTCTGCACATTGTTGATATCATGTCGCTCCTCTCTATATCTCAATCATGGTGAGATCTAGTTAGTGTCTAAATGGGGCAGCTTTAGTTACTTTGAACCAAATGGAAAAGGGGTGGGGGGGATGTGTGTAGAACAGCAAATGATTAGTGGTTCCTTTACTTGACATCGTTCAGCATTTTAGTGCCTGGTATATGTTTGATGATATGCTATGGCGCTCTTGTATTGGTTACGCGTGCGTATTGTTAACAGTATGATACTCATTGTAACCCAGCTTGTGCCAAGTAACACTTGTCAAGCCTTGAAACCCCAATGTCTGGTTGACAAGACAGTAACACCTATTTTGCTGTTTGGAATTTTTCAGGTGGTGCAACATTGGTATTTGACACGGAACTTGTTGCAGTGAACGGGAAGACGAAGAGTGGAGAGACTGCATCCCCAAAAGATAGTGAGCTGTAGTTCTATAGAATGTTTACGTGACAGGTTCTTCTTTAACTGTTGTCAATTTGGCCCCTTTGCCATCAACCAGAGCTGGTGATAGACAATTAGACGTCTTGTTTTCGAAATGAAAATTGGTTTGGTACATTAGAGCGGTAATTTCTTGTTGCCATTTTTCATCCTGATTCTCTCTAGCTGTTTGAATTGGGTTGCTTCTCCACTTGTTGGGGTTTCTTCTGATTCAGGCATATGGATTCCCCACCAGAGTTACCCATGTCCCAAGCGAGATCAGTTGGATCGATGTAATGCATCACATTGCGGAATATCTCAATCCCAAGTGGTCTTACCGAAGACTGTTATGTCAAGTACCCAGAAACTTGTGTTCTAATTACCAACGGATGTTAATCAATGACTAGAATTGATCTAGTACAGAGGCAATCAAGTCTAAATATAGAGCTCAACCAGCCGATAAGGAAGAAGAGCAGAAGGACGCACATCTAAATATATATATTACATGCTTCACGGCTTTACAATGACTTGTACAAAAGCAAAATGGGCCAAGTCATGCCCAAACCCATACATACATCAACAATGTCCCCCCAAATCCCCCCAAATTGATGTCTCTCGAAACATCAATTTGTTAGAGAGGAACCAATGATAGACTGGTCGAAAAAGTCTTGATAAAAATATCCATCTTCTGATGTTCAGTTAGCACGTAATGAAGAAGAAGCACACCTTTAGTAACCGAATCCCAAACATAATGGATGTGGATATCAATATCCTTTGTACGGTTGTGGAGAACATGGTTGACTGCAATCTGAATAGCACTTGTTTGTCGACAAAGAGAAAGAGATGCGACATACAAGAGATACCAAAACCCAAAAGCAAACGTTGAAGCTAGACCTACTCAAAACTCACATTGGACATAGACCAATATCCAACCTCTATAGGCGATTTGGAGACCTTGTCTTGCTTCTTACAATGGCAAGAAACGAAGGCTCCCCAAATTTAACACATCATCCTGTAGTAGAACGACAAATGTCAATACAACCCACGAGACCAATACACCTTAAAATTCCTGCCCCTTCTTTACACTTATGACCTTGTTTTGTACCTGATTCGCACATATCGACTAATACACCTTAAAATCACATCGAAATCAAATTATTTTACCGTTAGTTACCGGCTGTTAGTCTCCGTCACACTCCGTTAACTCCGTCAGTATTTCGATGACATGACAAGCAAAAATGCTGACTAGACCGTTAACTTAATGATATGTCAATTTTAAAAAATTAAAATAAATAATTTACAACTCATCTCTTACCCGGCGATACGAAGTCTACCATCACATCACATCCCCTTTCGATCGCTAGTTCCGGTCCTTCCATTCCATTCCCCGTCGTCGGAATCCAGCCTCTTCGTCACCTGAAATCCCGAGATACCATCCAAGTAATTCGAAACCCCCAAATTCCTAGCTCCGATTTCGCCACAGGTACCCAAGTTAAAACTTTTTGTGCTTACTGTTTCGCATTAGGGTTTTGTGTTTCCGACCGCCGCAACCGTTTGAAATAGACTCTAAGACGATGGCATGAATAAACTGGTTCTCTCACATGGTTTTAAAAGTGAAAGTGACAAATGCATTTAGTACAAATTTGAGAATGACACTTGGATTATGAATGACACGTCGATCTTTGGTACAAAGACTCGTGATGTCAATATTGAAAAACCATGATGGTTGAGAATTTTGAATGTGAAGGATCTGAATGAAACGAATGTTATGCTTAGAGATCCTAATAACTAGGAAAATACAAGATGTACACCTGCATACATGTTTGATGATGCTCGTATAAATATTTAAAGAACACCAAAGACGGTGTAAGAAAGTTAGAATATACTAGCATCTACAGTCTGCGAGAGGCAACTGATAAACATGAGACCCGATATAGTGGGGGTACTTGGCAGGCTTACTGATTGTCCTAATATGAAGCATTGAAATGCTATTGAAAGGGGTCATGAGACACCTTAAAAGAACAGAAAAACCTTGGTATTTGTTATCAATGGTTTTGCTGTATTGGTAGGGTATAGTGATGCGGATTAGAATACCCTATAGAGGACTCCAAGACAACAAGAGGCTGTGTTTTAAACATTGATAGAGAAGCTATGTCTTGGAAGTCTAAGAAGTAAACGATCCTGGCTCAATCAACTAAGAAATCAGAAATGATAGAACTAGCGATGGCTAGCAAAGAGGAAAGTTGATTGAGAGGATCATTACTAGAGATTCCCTTATGGGAAAGACCGATCTCTCCGGTAGATGATTCATTGTGATAGTACCGCAACTATTACTAAAGAAGGGAACCGGTTCTAGAACGAAAAGAGACGACAAATTCGTCGTAAGCACAGTACTGTAAGAGAACTCCTAACGATAGGAGCAATGAGGGTGGATCCTGTAAGGTCCTAACAGAATCTAGCTGATCCTTTGACGAAAGGATTATCTAGAGAGAAAGTCCAAAATACCACGAAGGGTATGAGACTTATGCCTACCGAACCATGGATTACAAGTGATGGTAACCCGACCCGATAGACTGGAGATCCCAAGAAACGAGTTCAATGGGTAATAACAAGTCATGAGTAATATTGAGAAAAGTTCATGCATAGTGAAGCATGAATCCCAAAGCCTTGGAGGTTGAGTTAAAACTCTTAATGAGATCTATACTCTATGTGGAGTGAAGTACTTTACTTTGGGGGTACTTCTGATAGACTCACCTATGTGAATGTGGGAGTGAGGCCGCTCCCTATGGAACTTTGGAGGCACAAAGTTGCTAGAGCGTTCACTAAACCGGGATAACGTGCATGGCCATAAACGCACGGCCTATGAGAGAATATCACTCAATGAAAAGATCCGGTGTGCTACATTGTCTGAGATAGGGTTCAAGACTACGAGTCACCCTTATGAAATCGGAAGTGTAACCACTACGCTAAGGTTCAAATCTTCGCGATACCTTAGTTTATGCCCGATCTTATGGATCTGTTGATGCTCAGAGATAGTTTCAAAACTATTCAAGTGGGGGATTGTTGGGAATTAATAGCTTTGAAAGCTATATTGAATTAATTATCCCGTATTCTTTCTAGATACGAAAATAGGAAGGATAATTAATAAAAAGAATATTATGGAGATAATTAGGATTAATTATCTTAATATAATATAATATATTTTAATTATGGAAGTAATTATCTTCCTAATTAAAATGTGGCTTATTCCCAAAGAAAGAGGGAATATTCTAGGTTTTCTGCTCCTATAAATAGCAGACCCCTAGACCCTCTAAACACACCTCAGAGAGCAGAAACACGAGATAGAGAGTGAGTTCATAGAGCTCCGGTTTTCGCACAAAACCGATGAGCAACAAAATAAGAATGGCTGTTTTATCCTGGAGGCGACCGGCTGATAGTCTGCCGTGCGCAACGAAGGCAGTGCCGCGAACGTCTTAAAGAGAGCGACCTAGTCCGCGACTCAGCCAGATCGGTAACCCTATTTTTCTGTTCGGTTTCTAACAAGAACTTGTCGGCATAGTCTAGCGACGAAATCCGACGATAACTTTGAAATAGGGGAAGCTCTAGGCGGCGGCGGAGCGAGGGGAACGAATCAGGTCAGTAATCTTATGGTGATTGGTGAGTAACTATGAGTAACCAGCCCACATGATATCAGCATCATCTCTCTCCTGGAAAGCCTTTAATTTTCCCCTCCTTAATCTTTGACGGACAATTTCTCACTCGTTTTAAGTCGAAATTTAATTTTTTTTGCACAGTTAGATCAGATAAATTGTGCTTTTCAAAATGATATCCACTTTGATATATTTTTCGAACAAAAAAAATTGAGTCATTCTTTACCAGTCTATACCATATGGTATTGACTGATATTGAAATAAGAGCATACCTATGGTTTGAAAAGCGTACCATGGTGGTATGACACAAACCAAAACTGTAGGATGGTTGAATACATGATATTAGAAGTATATTAATGGTCATTTACGACTTTTAACATTGTATACAATAAGATACCATAAAATACCACCCCGTACCAGGGTAGTATTGTATGGTATTGTGTGGTATTTTTTTGTCTTGTAATTTGTTCACCCAGAAATTTGTAGATCCAATAGATCATGATGAACTCGTCCCTGCTGTGCAAACGTTTTCAAAAACGAATGAAAAACGAAGAAGATACCATATGGTATGCAGTTGGTACCGAGAGGTCAGAATTTTTTTTTTCCTAAAAAAATATTGAAAATTGATCTCATTTTGTAGAGCACGATGAACTCGTTCCATGTGTGCAAAAAAAAAAAAAAAATTCCGAGTTAAAACGAAAAAGATATGAGTCAATTAAGAAAGCTAGTGAAAATAAAAATGACTTTTAATTCTCCATCCTTAGATCTGGATTTTCTAAATGAATGATCCAGATTTGGTTATTGATGAGCCGCGAGGGGGATGGGGCCATGAGGAACATGTGATTTGGAGTGTGGTCAACGCCGACAGTGGAGAATGAGGGCATCGATTTTTTAGTTTTTAATTTTTAATATTTCAAATTGACATGTAATTAGTTGACTGTCCAGTCAACACTCCCATTTGTCACATCATCAAAAAATCAATGGAGTGTGACGGAGGTTAAGGCTCGATGACTAACGATGAAATGATTCGTAAAATTAGTGACGAATAAGAAAGAAAAGTGATTTGAGTGGCAAATGTGAAAGATTTATGTAATTTGAGAGACCAAATGTGTAATTTAGCCATTGTTGAATTATGTATAAAAAATGTATCATCACAGGCCGTGTGGCGTATTGCATCATGGGGATTTTGGGCTTTGCATTATACCAGGCCTACCAAATGAAACCCTCGCTGTTCTCTCACAAGTATGGCTCATCTTCCTAAGGCCCAAAGTAGCCCTAGCCCAAGCTTAACTGTAATTTTCGTCCCGAAGTGAAGTTTTAAGGGCCGGGTCAAGGTTGTCAACCCGTGGGTTGACCCACGGGTCGACCCAATTTGACCCTGATCCGGTGAGAAAAACGGGCCGCAGGCACCCGCCGGGCCGACCGCTATTAGGTAGCAGGTTGGAGGTCAAATTGTGTCATTTTTTTCTTTAGTTTGCGAAATGCGCCTATTTTCCAATTTTTCTTTTCGCCTAACTCAATCTTTGGAATAGTAAGTTGAACATTTGAATATTTATGTTATATAAGTGTGTGTGAATTTTCACTATATGTTAGTTCTAAGTACGATATGTTATTTTGGTGTAATATTATATGTTATAACTCATATGTTAGATAATATTTGATATAATTTATGAGGATAAGTACAATATAATGACTCTTTCTATATTTCCGGGTCAAACCGGGCTAAAACGGTTGACCCATTAACCCTTGACCCACTAGCTCGACCGGGTCCGGGTCAACCCGCGGGTTGACAACCTTGGGCCGGGTACTAACTTTAACCAAAGTTGATGGACTGGAACTGGATATAAACGCGAACGAAATCGAAAGCGGCTGCGCATATAAAGCTAGCTAGGGTTTTTGTTTTCCAGAGCTGTGCAGCAGAGGTAAGGCCGCGCCGAGAGAGGGAAAGCCGTCACAGTTCGCCGCCGCTGAATCAACATGGGTACTGATCCGTCCTCCCCCATTCCACCGTCTCCATTATCAAGCTCTACTTTACAGTTTACATGGGCTAGATGCAAGATTTATAATCGCCGCCCCTCGCATCGAATGCTTACAGGCTTCTCCTTTCTGACGTGCAGGTATTTCCAGGGACTCTCTTCACAAGAGGCGCGCCACTGGTGGCAAGAAGAAGGTCTGGAGGAAGAAGCGAAAGTAAGTTTCTCTCTGCCTCAATCAGCTTCTGAGATACTAATGCTTTCCTGTGTTTTTAGTACATTCTAGAACTTGACTATGTTCCTAGTTCTATTCTGTCTGGTTACTCTAGGGTTAAAAATCATATGAAATCCTGTTGTCCCATTTGCTATTTTATTTTAGAGTTCTTAAAGCAAACTTGCCAAATGGTCAGTCTGTTGTGTTTTTAAGCCTGGGATGTCGGCTTTAATCGCTTCCATATATACTGCTATTATCTTGGTAAACTTCTGTTTGGACGGTTTCTTCATTTTTGGTTCTGATCTGATTTTATTGCCGGTTGGTTAAGGTATGAGCTTGGACGTCAGCCAGCAAACACCAAGCTCTCGAGCAACAAAACTGTTCGGAGGGTGCGTGTTAGAGGAGGCAATGTGAAGTGGAGGGCTTTGAGGTTGGACACTGGAAATTTCTCCTGGGGTAGCGAGGCTGTTACCCGCAAGACTCGTATTCTTGATGTGGTCTACAATGCCTCAAACAATGAGCTTGTTAGGACACAGACACTGGTGAAGAGTGCCATTATTCAAGTCGATGCAGCTCCGTTTAAGCAGTGGTACCTTCAGCACTACGGTGTCGACATTGGCAGGAAGAAGAAGACAGTCGCTAAGAAGGAAGCTACTGAGGTAAAATCAACATTGCCAGTTCACTGTTTGTTCTATGCTAGGTTATAGGTACTACATTGGTTGTCTGGACATTTGCTTGTCCTCTATATCTGCGATTATCTGATGAGTAATGAATATCTGAAGCGAGTCTCAAGCTGTCTTTGCTGTTTTCCTGCTTCTATTGGTATTCGTTCTCAGAAGTAGTAGGTGTGATCTTGATGTTCTATGTAGCCGGCACCTTAGCCAACTAGTGGATCGAGTCTGTCTGCAAACTAGGATCATTCTGAACAATAAATAGCCTCTGGAATATATAATCTGCTGACTACCCATAGCAAGCACAGCAGGGTAAAGTCTGTTTGTGGCTATGTTGTGCTTTTAAGGTAGTAGATTGTTGGAGAGAATGAATCCAATGTTATGATCCGTCATTAGATGTTGGTGAATGTGATAATTTCTTTTTACTGTATAATGATTGTTACATTTTGTCCTACAATTGTAGGAAGGAGATGCTGCTATAGCTGCTGCTCCTGAAGAAGCTAAGAAGAGTAGCCATGTCCAGAGGAAGATTGAGAATCGCCAGAAAGATCGCAAACTGGATGCCCACATCGAGGAGCAATTTAGTGGTGGTAGATTGTTGGCATGCATATCTTCTCGACCTGGTCAATGCGGTAGAGCAGATGGGTAAGCTAAGCATAAATGTGTTCGGGCCTTTCCTCCCCCTTTGTTGTGATGTGTTTGTATTGCATCTTATGGTTGGCCATCTATATACTATGTTTGTGTTGTAGCTACATATTGGAAGGCAAGGAACTTGAGTTTTACATGAAGAAACTCCAGAGGAAGAAGGGCAAGGGTGCTGCTACTGCTTAAAAGTCAATCTCCTTCAAGTTAAACCTATGTGTTTGGACACCTAGCATTTTGTCTTTCGGACGCTGAGTAGTGGAAGTGATGAATTGTTTTTACTAGCTAGTGGAACAATTGTTTGTTTGGTCATCCGAAATTGTGTTGAGCACTGCAGAGATTTTGCCCGCTGTTTGTGATTTAGAATTTTGTCTCAATTCATTGCCTTTTCTGCTTACGCCCAGTCCAGTTTTGTTGCGGTTCGAAACATCTATTCATATGTGCCTCATAGAAACTTGGAATTAAAATCAGATACTGTTTACGCTCCATTCAATGGAAAGTTTAGGGATTGTAGAGTTGTTAATAAGATTGCAAATGAGTCTAGTCGAATTATGCTGAATTTGAACTGGACTTGTTATTTAAAAGCCGAATTTTCCTAAGTTTAAGCTTACTTTGACAAGGAATGAGCTCAGCTCGAGCTTCGTTCATTAAGGGGTTCATAGACATAATTGATATTCAAGTTCGTTGGGTAAAGTGTGCTGAAGACAGACTGAGTGGCCGTGCATGATCTTTGGTTTATAGCAATGGAAAGTAGTTAGTTTATAGCATGGTAAAGGAAATCGTACCTGAAGACGGAAGTCATACCGGCTCCGCCAGTGGTAGGTAGGGGTGGGCATTGGGTGGGTCGGGTGGATTTTGACCATAAAATGCACCCACCCGCGCTTAAACGGATTGATAATTTTTAACCCACCACCCACCCACATTTAGTCTCGGGTTGGGTCGGGCGGATGGTGGATGATGTGGGTGGGTTTGTGGGTTCACTCACATCACAATGTATATAATATAAAGGAGTCAACTTGACATGATAATAGGTGAAGAAAATCATCGAGGGAAACAAGAAGTTGAAATAATATATAATATAAAGGAGTCAACTTGACATGATAATAGGTGAAGAGAATCATCGAGGGAAACAAGAAGTTGAAATAGAGCGAAAAATGTCGACTTCGTTCTTAAATTGGATAGAAATTCTATTATGAAATAGTTTTCTACAGATTGAGACGATTATTAGGTGCAAGGAACTAAGGAAAATAATTCCACAAAGGAAAGAGCGGTGATCTAGGCACAAGAATTAGAGGGAAAAGTAGAGGGAAGAAGAGGGGATCTCTATTTGGAAGGTTGACTTTGAGGTTCAAACTCCAGGAGCAGTCCGAGTTTATATCTAACGTCTCCACTCTCCTCTCTCTAGCGCCAACGACTTTGATCTTTTTGCTGTTGGGTTGAGCGGGTCACCCGCACACTCACCCACAACCACCCACCACCCGGCGGATGGCTCCCAGCGCAACCCGTCACCCACCCACAAACCCACACACTTAACGAAATTCGGGTCAAATGCGGGTGGGTCGACCCAAACCCGCGGATGATCCGCCCGCATGCCCAGCCCTAGTGGTAGGGTATTTTGTGGTATTACCGTGGTTCAATTGTTGTGTACCGGCAAAATATCGTTTTTGTAATTAAATAATATTTTTTTGTTAAAAAATCGTAACGGCAGATTCGGGATACTGTTTCGGAATAATACCGGAATAAAATCGGAATATACCGGATAACAAACCTGAATAAACTAAATAAGCATATGTAATATAAAATTCAACAAACTGCAACATTACTGAATTAACTAAATAATCGTTCAAATGCATGTTTACGATCGAGTACAAAACAACCAAACAACATTCTTACACCACAAGTTCAAACAACATTATCAAACCAAACAACATTCTCAAACCACAAGTTCACAACTACCACAAAGGCACAAACACAAACTAGCAAGCACTACAATGTTCACAAACAACGTTTCATATCGTCAAACAACACCAAATGTAGATAAGTCTACATTTGGCAAGTCGTCCCCTCCATCTTCTTCAACACCAACTACAATACAAGAGAAAACAAGTAAGAATTATTATCAATTATTAGTATTAGAATTCATATCATACATAATTGATTTACAAACAAACCTTCCTCTTCTAATGCTCGATCCAGCTCGTCAATATCCAATTCCTTTTCCCTAGAAGATGAACCTTCTTCCCCTTGTGACAACCAGTGACTAGTAACAGTAGAATCAATGCTTTCAAGGCTTATGGGATCATATGATTCTTTTTTGTTCTTGTTATAATACTCCCTAATCAAAGTAGAAAACATAAAATAATTCAATTCAATAGTAAAGGAAAGCCCATAATCATAGTTCAAATCCACCAAATATTTATTGCAAGAACCAATCATTTCAAATCCACCAAATATTTATTTTGGAAGATGCAAACTCTTCCTATGAAATCTGCTACACTGCTATAGAGAATCCAACCAAGTTGCCGATTGCTATAATGACAGGGAGATGTCCTGCAAACTACAAGCAATTCAATCCAACAGATACGCATTTCCTCAACTAACAAAGGCAAAGGAGAACTGGAGAAGAGGAGGAGCGACGGTTTGAACGGAAGAAGAAGAAGAGGATTTCGAACTGGGAAGAAGAAGAGGAGGAGCGGCGGCTGTGTGTGTTTGGTACTTTGGTTCGATTTGCGTTAGAGATTAGGCCATTAGGGTTTGGAAGGTCGTTTTTTTTTGTTCCAAAACGACGGCGTCGCTTCCCAATAGCCTGCCTCTGGTTAGACCAAAACCGGCGACATTTCGGTTTAAACCGGTTTTACCGGCCGGTGCAAAATTCTGTCTACACACATGGTACCGTGTCGCCCGAGCTCGGGTTTCCGGTTTAACCGGTTCAACCGGCCGGTACGATCCGGTTTCCTTTACCATGGTTTATAGCTTATGAAAAATCATAGTTATTTGAATTCGAAGAAATGAGATAAGAATAACTAGTTTTGTCTCCGGCTCGTTGGTTGGGGTGCAAGTGCAACTATGCATGTGAAGTTTTCAGATTTTTGTTGCTGGTTGCTCTGTAGTCAAGGAAGTTAGAAGTATTTGTTTACCTTTCTTAATCTGCGGCAACATTGTTTTAAGAACCAAACCATATCAATTGTTATGCTAGTAGAATCATTATACCGATTATAATAGTTGTTCAGTTTATTTTATTGGATTGTGGAAGATGGACCTAGGGATGGCAATGGGTCGGGTCGGGGGCGGATAGTGCATATCCGTTACCCTACCCAAAGTACTTCGGGTTTTACCCATACCCATACCCACATGTGAAGCGGGTAGAAAATCAAAACCATGCCCATACCCGTTCGGGTTTCGGGTATCCACGGTTATCCATGTATATTAATTTCTCTTCATAACTCCAACCAATATGTTAACATTCACACATATTCTTATATTAAGTAAGAGAAAAAGTACGACAAGAATTCACTAGAATGAAGAAAATTAACTAAAATAACACAATTTCATGAAAATGTTATATTTATATGCTAAATGTAAAATATGTTAGAGAAAAATAATGATTATTTCTAGACAAAATACATATGCATGTGTATAATCGGGCGGGTTCGGATCGGATAGTGAGAAATCCATGCCCACCCATTACCCGCAATATTCGGGTTCGGGTTTTACCCGTACCCACTAAATGTCCTTCGAGTTCGGGTTTTACCCTACCCAACTAGGCCGGATTCGGGCGGATATCCACGGTTACGGATATTTTTGCCATCCCTAGATGGACCGTACGATTTTTGCGAATTGACATAAACCCAGATGAGCTAGTTTAATTGGTTCACCATTTAATCCCATAAAATTAAAAACGACGGTAACAAAAATTAAAATCATACAACCTCAATCACTAAATTTTATTGTGCTTCCTTTTTTCATTTCCAGTCTCCTATGTTAGAGTATTATATATGCATTTTATGTTATAAACACAGTGTCCACTCTGGTGAATTGATCGTTGTGTAGCACTACAGGGATGAGTGACCTTATAGTAAGTCACTTTGTTATGCACTCCAAAGCAAAAATTGTGAGGTTCTAGCCCTAAAGCAGAAAATATCTTGGTCGAAAATAGTACAAGATGTTACAAATAGTGTGCTTCGCGGTGCAAATGGTAACCATCTATGAATATTATTAAGGATATAATAGTGTTATTGTTCAATAAGGGTTTTGCTAATATGAGCCGATTGTCATTATTTTTGCTCATCCGCAAGAACTCTGCATCCTTATATACACGGTGAAAGCGTTCCTCTACTGTCACATACATGTGTAGCCTTTAGCTTGTGGAATTCTTTTCAGTTTTTGTGGTTTGCATGAAATTAATTTCAAGGTTTGCGAAACTGTATTAGAGGTTGTACCAAAAGAGTTAGCGATAGGGTATTTTGTACCAAAATCGTGTTTCAACCGTGGTTCAATAATTTCATATGTTAAAACCCATCTATCGATAGGATATTTTACGGTCTAACCGCCGGTACCATATGGTTTCACAAACACTTATTAATTTCCTCGAACCTGTTTTGGATACCTATGGGGAAAGATCACTCCTGCAAACCTCATTCGTAAGAGGCGACAAAGAAAACTATAAGAGTTGCAACGCTTTTTGTAACGCATATGATCATACAGTTCATGTAGTGTAGAGAAAACACGAGATTGGTTTCATATACGATTACGTAAATATTTCAGTGGTTTATGTGTGAGATTCATGTTGACCAATCATTTTATTGTATTGCATGTTTGGTGTTTTATTGGGGTACTTTTGTGTTGAGTCTTAAAGTTCAAATTCAAGATGGTGGAAACACTTCTATCATCCGTTCCAAATCGAACTTTTTGCAGCCATTAAATTGGGACTGAGTAGCATGGGTTCAGAGTCGATGCTTAGTATGGTTCTCAAGGGTTAGCAGTACTAGAGTCTGAATAATATATTGTAAACTCGCGGTGATAATATATTGCAAACAGCAACTCTCTCTTTCATTCAGCTCCGAACCGCCTCTGGCAGCTGTATTATGAACAAAGAGATGCAGTTACATGAATGAAAAGAATGCACAAAACTGCACTGGGCAAGGGAGGGAGACGAGGACCACAACTTGTAACAAAAACAGATCATAATCAAGTGTACAAAATCTATGCCTACTTTTTAGTCAGCTCAGCTCACTTGTTCTCCAATCAAATCAAGACCAACGACCAAGAAACTAATCCCTTGAAACAACAAAAAGTAGAAGTGGATGCCCTGAGCAGTCAGCAAGCTTCTAGCAGCAGCAGTCAACAGTATGAACGCCAGGGACAGTTCCTTCCTGTACAGACGATTTCTTTTCCTTTTCACAGTTTTCTTGCTCGCTTCTAGCTTGTTCAGATTATCCAGGCCTGATTCAGATGAAGACCTGTGGATCCCAGAGCTTTCCAACACCAGAGGATCCGATTCCTTCTCAGCTAGCACAATCAAGTCTGCTTCTGATGATCTTCCTAACTTCTTTGTAACTATCCACTCATAAGAACTTCCCAGGCGAAACAACCCTGATATCATGGCATTGAATTTGGTGACCGACATGGTGTTCTCAAATAGAAGGTAAGGGACTATGAACGGAAATGAGCGAGGGGCTGGCAAGATGTTCAAGATGGACATGAGACCAGGAACGTAGCACACAACCCAAGCCGGTAGTTCAGCTTCCGGGAGGAACATGGTGAGGGGTAGAATGATGCAGAAAAGAGTGAATGAATAGAAAGGCAGGATAAGCTTCCGCAGGAGAAAGAACAGAAGTATCAGGTTTGCCTTCTTCCCCACACTCAACTGCAACCAGCAAACAAACATCTGTTATGTACAAAAGGGTCTGCTCAACTATCACGGGTTATCTTGAATCCCAAGTTTTAGGCAACAAAATAGTGGGTTTAGCCTTGCAGCTTATGTTTATGAGAGGAGGTACGTTTCATGCGGAAAATTTATTAACCTCAGTGGGTACAAAAGGTTAGCTATCAGCTGCGGGGTTAATAATTACATTTCAATTCTCAATAGCAGAGAACAAAAAACTTAATCACCTTTGATCGGAGCACATCAACGAAGCATAAGCGAAACAACTGCATGGGACCTGAATGCCATCGATGCTGCTGTTTTTTGTAAGCTGCATAGGACTCAGGAAGTTCACATAGGCACTGTAAACGACAGACAAAGGAGTTCATTAGTTTACAATGTCTAAAGTCCCTAAAACACTACCTACCTAGCATATCGCCTGCAATAGAAAGAAACATGCTTCAAATGAAATGCAGACCTTCACATCATTCAGGTAGATGAACTTCCACCCAGAAAGGTGAGCACGAACAGCAACATCCATATCCTCAACAGTTGTCCTATCCAACCAGCCCCCACAATCCTCTAGGGCTTTTATCCTCCACACACCAGCCGTGCCATTGAAACCGAAAAAATTGATGAAAATGCCATTGACTTGCTGCTCAACTTCAAAGTGGAATGACAGATTTATGTTCTGCAATCTAGTGAGCAGGTTCTCATCCTTGTTCACAAACGCCCACCTTGTTTGAACCAACCCTAGTTCATCGTTTCCCTTATAACAAAGAGCAGCTTCTCATCAAATACAATAGATCACAGTGAAGGTTATATCAGAGCAGCAGAAAACGCGATCAATTGCCAATGGGTTTACCAACGCAACTCTACCTTGAAGTAGGGAATGGTTTTCTTCAAGAAGTCTGGTGCTGGCTGGAAATCAGCATCAAAGATGGCCACAAATTCGTAATCTTTCAGGTAATCACAGCTCATGGCAGACCTCAGGTTACCAGCCTTGTAACCTGTTCGGACAAAACGATGCCTGTACACAATCTGCACACCCTTCTGCTGCCATTTCTGAACTTCACCCTTGATAAGAACTTGAGTATCCGGGTCATCAGAATCATCCAGGACTTGTACCAGCATTCTCTCTCGCGGCCAATCCTGGATGCAAACCGCCGCTATAGATTGCTGGTAAACCTGCAATCACATTACAGTAAAAATGAGAAAAAATGCCTACCAAGTGTTCGACAATATGCCTAAAAGAAAGCAAGGGTAATGGAACCTACATCAGCTTACCTCCCTCTCGTTGCACATGGGGATCTGCACCAATACCATGGGGTAATAATTCTCAGCGGCCTCGACGTCGGGCGCAGCGTATGAGACAGGCGGAATCGGCTTCAATTTCCTGAATTTGATCCAGAAGCAGCCGAGCATAAGGACGGCGCGATCGAGGGATTGAATGAGGAACAAGACAATGCAGACATTGGCGAGGTATTGGAGGGGCGGGGCCAAGTAATCGGCCCTGATTTCGAGCCATTTGGCGTAAAGGCGCTCTACCAGAGCCTCGGCGGATTCGACGGAAGGCGGGGTGAAATGCCATCCGCGGCGGTAGGCGAGGAGCTCAAGGAAGAGGAGCAATAGGACGAGGATTAAGAAGATGCGGATGATTTTGTTCAGGCGGGAGGAGGAGGAGTAGGCGGAAGGGGAGCGGTGGTGGTTGGAGATGCGACGGTTGGCGGTGCGAAGGAGGGAGATGGAGGAGTCGGTGAGCCAGGCGACGGAGGCGGTGAGTTTGTGGAAGCGGAGGAGCCAGAGCCAGGAGAGCTGGCGGGCGGAGCGGGTGTGGTGGCCCTTGGTGGTGGCCGTGGGGGAGGAGGTGAGGTCGACGGCGAGGGAGGAGGAGGAGGAGGAAGAGGAAGCGGCGGCGGAGGAGCTCGGCGGGTTATCGTCGGAGGAGTCGAGGAACGAGTGGCGCTGTTTGTTCCACCATTGTTGGAACTCGTAGTTCTGTGCCGTTCGACTCATTCAACGGAATAAAGAAAGAAGAATCCAAAGAGAACACACAGAACGACCGACCGACCACAGCCGTTGGCGACCGTTTTTCACTTTTTCACTTCGATTTTTCCCCTTTTCACCGTTTGCGTCTCGGTATGATTTTGGTTTGTGTTCCGCATCCTGGCTGCCTTTTCGCTGCCGAGTTCTTTTCGTTTTTTTTTTCCTTTGCAGAAAGTTCAGGGACAGGAGTGAAAATCCGAAAATAGTAAATTGGGAAATTGATAAAGGACACGATAAGTGAAAATTTTAATCTCATTCAACGGGGAAAAAAAATTAATCTGTTATTTATTTTGATGAATGTGTGGTTATATCTTATGCACGTGCTCGCTACTAATAAATAACTTCTGAATTCTCGTACAAAAAATCATTCAAGGGCATGCAAAAGCGAGTAGCTACTTCTAAGGATGACAATCAAATCTATGGTCACGGGTATTGTCATATGTGATAGATGACATGACGCTAACAAGGTGACAACATGGCGGATGCACATGTGGCGTGTGTGGAAAACTAGAAGCATTATGGGTGATATTAAGAGAGTGCATTATGAGGGGACTTAATGAATGCAGTAATGAAGAGAAGACCATTATGAGGGACAATGATGCCTTGTATGTGGAGAGGCCTATATAAGGAGTCATCTCGCTCATTTGTAATCATCCCATATTTCTTTAGAGTAATACACTTAGAGAGTTCTCCCATCCTTTGTCTTCCTTGTCTTTCTTTGCTTGCTAGTGAGTTTGAGAGAATGCTGGTTAGTTCTCTAACGGAATTGAGAGCTAAGGCCACACGATCAAGAGTAAGGTCGTGACAAGTGGTGTCATAGCCTGGTTTGGCTTGGTGCTAGCAAAGAAGAAGAAAAGTCAAACGAAGAGGAGGAACCTCACCAAAAATGTCGGGATCAGAAGTCGAATTGGTGACAACAAGCAACGTGGAAGACATCCCACGAAGAGCTTGAGGCCAAAAGGAACTTCCAACACTCGTGATCCCGTGCAGGCTCTAGAGAAACCCGTCTCTAAACTGGAGGTGAAGGTGGTTGAAGACAATGGCGGAGGGAGGTAAGGAGGAGAGGTGTTCTAGGACCCCACTTGGCAAAATTGGGCAAAAAAATATTTTAAATGTATAGGTTTTAGTACGATAATTCAAGTTTAGGACCTCATAGTCTCAACAATGTTAGCTCACCAAGGACCCCGGTTTACTCAAAATCCATTAGGTGCACAAGCATTAGTGATAGTAAATTTGTAAGGACCCCAGTAAACTCGATGTCTGGCTACGCCACTTGTTGAAAATGTCACCGCAATTGAGGATTTGGGAGCTAACTTCACTCAAATCCAAGGTGATGTTCAAGGTTTGGGGGCTCGATTGGCGAGCTTGGAGATCGGATATGAAGGGTTGCGTGAACAACTTTTGGCCCTCATCAACAACACCATCTCTAACTCAATGAACAACACCATTGAAGTTGTGAAGGAGACTGTTCGGGCTGAGCTGGCCATCATGAAGGAGGAGATTGGAGACCTCATGTATGAGGTTACTCTCGTGAAGAGGGCCATGGCTAACGTACCTGCCGAGGTGCAACCCACCTCAACCATGGAGATTCCAAGACCAAAGAGCTTTGAAGGGTCGAGGAATGCAAGGGAGTTAGAGAACTTCCTATGGAGCTTGGAGAAATACTTCAAAGCTTTGGGTATTCGAGATGAGAATACCAAGGTAAAAACTGCACCTCTTTATTTGAGTGATTCGAGGGGATGGGGAGGAGTTTTACGAATTGCTACTCGAGATCCCCGACTACACCGACAAGGAGGCCATGTTCACCTTCCTTTATGGCCTCCAACCATGGTCAAAGTTGGAGACTTGGAGCTATAATGACGAGGCTTGCAAAGTCTTGTCGAGTCCCTAGTCGAGTACCATGAGCTAGAGGAACGTGTGGATTCTGGAGGCAATGGAGGTGGGCACGACTATGACAAAGACACACGAAGGTGTGGTAGCTCGGATCAAAGTGGAAATGATAAGGTTGAGAAACCCCTTAATTGCTTTCTTTGTGATGGTTCGCATCGTGTGAGAGATTTTCCAAAGAAGCACAAGTTGTCGGCCATGAAGGCCGCACTAGCAGAGTGCTCGAGCTTGAAAGAGGAAGAGAAGGTGACTCAAAAAATGGAGCCCCATCAAGCGGACAGAAGGGTCTCCTCACCCCGAGCAACACAACCAATGCTTCGTAGAGGCGAAGCTCAACCAAAGGAAGACAAAAGCCTTGGTTGAAACTGGGGCAATTTGCAACTTTCTCGACGTGGACGAAGCACGAAGGCTAGGCGTCACATACGAGAAGAAGCAACGAGGGTGGCTGAAAGCTACCAACTCAAGGGCCACAAGAACTCACAGAGTTGCACGCTCGGCTCCTGACTTGCGCCTTGCCCGATTAGGCGTAGCCTAGGCGCGCCTAGGCGTTCAGAGCATAAATGAAAAAATTCTCAAATATTTCCTGTTTTCTGGAATAATTCATATAATCCAAGTGCATATAAAATTAACAATGCCTAGTTCTTAACAGTAAACACTTAACATAACAAATAACAAGCAAATAGTGACCAATCATCTGCTAATAGGTGCTTATAGAGGCAAGAAGCTTGTGCTACGTACCGAGGAGAAGGAAGGAGCAACAATTGACGAGTTTCGACTTTATTTCCCACTATAGCAGCGGAGCGGTGTGAAGGCGAGAAGAGTGATCGATGACTTTCTCCTGCGGCGGCAGAGAGCAACAAATGGGGCGAGAGCTAGGGCGGTAGGCGATAGCAGATGGGGCGAGAGCTAGGGCGGCAGGCGGCAGCAGATGTTACTTCCCGTGTTTCTGATTTTATAGGGCAAGAGGCAAGTTTCTGATTTTCTAGGACAAAACAAAGAGTATTGGGTTCAACCGCCTAAGTTCGCCGGGGAACGCCCATGCATGCCTTCTCTCCACTAGGCGCAAACTAAGCGCTATTCCTACCTACTAAGCGCTACCAGCGCCTTTTACAACGCCTATGGCCAAGTCAAGGCGATCCTCCACCGCCTAGCGTCTAATTGAGCCTAGGCGCGCCTTCTTGAACCGTGAAAATTACTAATGAGAATAAGTTGGGCTTATTTTATTGAGTCTATTTTTCATTTGCTTACGTTTGGGCTTGTGGGGCACTAATAAGAATACATGAGATTCATAATTGAACATCTTCTAACACCTCAAGTTATTCAGACCAACTGGTTCTTAACATTAACAGGAGTTATGGTACAACTATATTAATTTGGGTCTAACCATTAACCACCTTATTCAACCCATAAGTTTACCCAATCATGCAAAGCAACACCCAATTCATGGGTGCACCCAATTCACAGGTTGGGTTAGGGTATCTGATGTGATTGGTTTTTATGAATGGCGGGTCGGATTTTAATATTTTTGAGTTAAAATCGGATGGCTAGGCGTTTCTCTTAGTCATGTAATAAAAAAAACTAATGCTATTAACGGAGTATAACGGAAGGTGATGGTCGGTGATCAAACTTGGACTATTGAACTAATTTTAGTTACCACTAATAGAATCTAATAATTAATCAGCATACGTGAACCAAATTAGTAATCTCAGTGACCAAATTTGAAATTTATACAAAAAAAATTAACTAAAATTCATATTACTATCATTGACTTTGTACTCATTAAACGATAATGGTCCTCAGGCAGACATTTTTACTAAGCACATCGCCCGCAGGCCGCAGCAAAAGCGCGACTAATTTCTAGTTCCTATTAAAATACATAGGTTTACAAAGATTAAAAATGGGCAGAGATGTCGAACTGTTCTGTATATAATACATACACAAACCCCATTCCGGCCATCTTTCTTCTGAATTTTTTGTTATCTTTTTTTTTTTTTTATCTCTGGAGAAACAGCAATCTGCAAACCAATAATGGGCTCTGCAACAAAATGCATACAGAAAAGACATAAAACAACACTGCCATTGCAGAAATCTTTCTTGAATTCAACCCCCCAACCAAATTAGATATTTAGTCTGTTTATTTACTAGCCATCTCAAATTGTTATATTATTTAAAAATAAATAAATCAAAACATTAAAAAATGCAACCCATTGAAACAAAAAAGAAAAATGGAAGGGCAAGGCAAGGCAAGTTAAGAAATAGGGGGGGATGGAAAAGGAAGCTCAGTGTCTTTGTAAAGACTAAAGGGGTTAAATTCAATGGGCCTAGTCAGAATCTCACCACTGCCTGCCAACCTGGGATTCTCTCTGTCCAAGTCTACATAATTTAATACAACCAATAATGACATAATTTGTCTTAAATTAGTGATTAATTAAAGGAGCAGTTCTAACCTCCAACACCCCCCTTTTGATTGATTGGCTTTGGCTTTAATCTCCTCATTCATCAAATCTTAATTAACTCCACTCCCTCAATCAAAACAAGAAGAAAACCAGCAAAGGCAGGCAACTGGGAAGGTAACAGTAGTGCTGCTGCTGCTGCTGCTGGGGAAGGTTCTGCTTCTTTGCTTTGGTTAATTGGGAAAGTTTACACAAGGCCAAAAGGGTTTTTCTTTTCTTTTCTTTTCTATTGGTTTAATGAGTGAGTGAGTGAGTGGCAGAAATTAAGCAAAGCTTTAATCTTGACCCCGTCCCCCTACTAATTAATACCCATGCATCATTTCTATTGAATTCCCCTCCTCAAAGAAAAGAAAAAAATAATAATAATCATAACCACTGCCAATAATGAAGAAACCAAACAAACCAATTGGTCTTAATCAGTGAAATTTAGACTTTTGTAGGCAAATGGCTCCAACATATACAGCTGGTTACCAACACCCTCCCTTCCCATCAAAACCCATAAGAATCAAATCCACAAGATTACAAGATCTAACCCTCCCTCTCCTTCTCTTGATTTTTTTTTTAATTGTGTGATGTGACCCCCTTCTAATTACCTCTTGTTAGCTGAACTCTTCTATTTGGATGGCTCCTTCTTACTAACATTAGCATCATCCCGATGATGAATTATAACAGTACAGACTACACTCGTAGTTATGGACTTGTAGCCATTGTTTTTGCAGTTGTAGTCGATTCTCTCTCTCTCTCTTTACAGTTGTAGCTATTATTTTTTATAGTTGTAGTCTTTATTTTTGCGTAGTTATAGGACTACAACTCTAACATGGACTACTATAACCGATGGTTAGCATGTCGTTGTCCCTATAGGGTTAGCACTGTATCAAGTCTCCCTCTAACCCGGTTTGTTGGGGCTTTGGACTAATAACTAATTTAATTAGTTATGTCATAAATGCGATGCAAAGTAATATAGTAAATGAACAATAGCACAACAATAAATAATGTTATCAGGATGCAGGTAATCTACAGAACAATAAGATAAATGGACATGCATATTTATATGGTGCACTAACACGATAGTGTGATTTGAATGATAAACACCTTCAAATTAGCATGAATTAATGAATCTTACATGATGACTACAACAAAAATATTAGCCGGGTAATCTTACATGGAATGGTGCACCAGTCGAGGTACACAATTGAGAGAGAAGAGAACAACTAGACAAATAAATATTACAAGTAAAAAAATTAAAAATTACAGTGGATAATTAGTTCCAGGAAAGAGAGAAAAAAAAAAAAAAAGAATTAACAAGAGGAGAGGCTTCATTAAAAAGAACCCTCAATCAAACCAAGTCGGTGCTAATTGAAAAGTAAAAAGCTATCCTCTCTTCTTCATCAGCTAGCAGCTAGTAAATTATAAAATGGCACCTTAAAACGTACGTATATATATATATATATAAAATATACTTGTTGTTGGTCCCTCATTAACAATTCTTGGTATATACAAATACAAAGAGCATAATTAGCACAGCCAGCCAGCCGCTTCAATCAATCAATCTCGTCTCCTCCTCCTCCTCCTTGGAGTTTTTTCTCTTTAATTAATCATCACGATGAGGACCAAAGAATATTGATGTTTATATATATATATATAAAAATAAACATGATGAATGATTAATTCAGCAGGAGTGCCGCCTCAGATCTCAACTTTCATATGGGAAGATGATGGTTGGTGATTGGGCGATGAACCTGCATGTGAATTCAATGTCGGTTACCAGCTCCACCCAACCCTTTTTTTCCCCGCTTAAACTATCATAATTAGCGGTAGCAAGCCGTTGACTTTGCTCACCTGAGGTGTAGTCTGTGTCCGGCCCATTGCCGGAGAAGCCCATCTGAACAATGCTCTGGAGGTCGTCGTCACAGAAGGATTGGAACTGTTCCAACAATATAGTTCATTGATATCGTAAGGAAGGCAGGCGGTTAAATATTTATTATTATTACTGCGGCTGGATTTGATTTTACCTGATCATGGTGGAGAGCGAAGGGATCGAGCGGGCAATGAGAGATGCTGCTGTTGCTGTTGCTGCCATGATGATTTTGGTGGTGACCCAATATGGCTGACGCCGAGGAATCTACTGGGAACATTGGGTGCGCCATTCCACTGTTGTTTCTTTGATACATCTGCAAATAATTTTTTTTTTTTGGGGTTAGCAATTAGGCGTTAATTATTTAATAATTGATGAGATTAACATTTAACGCAAAGAAAGTCAAAACTCACATCTTTGGAAGAGAGAGGGTCAATGCTGAAATCCAGCCTGGTGGTGTTTACGGAAGACAACTTCATCGACAGGAACTGCTCCCACCACCACCACCCCCAGTTGTAATCAATTTAGTTAATATTACTTGATTGAGTGATTGATTAAACAGATAGTTATTTAATTCGGAAATTAAAAAAAAAAGATTTGTTAAGAAAGAAAGATAGTGGGCAGATAATGGGTTGTTTCATTTTTTTTCTTTTGATTAATCATTCAGGGTGTTTAAAGTAAAGGAAAAAGGAAGATTAAAGTTTACCTCAACTTGCCGTTGCAATGACTGCACGTAGTTTATAATTTCGTCCAGCATTAGCGCTTTTCCTGTTACCTGCACACAGTTCCCCGGCCCACAAACATTAATCAGCAAATTCAGGGGATGAGAGGAATTCGATAAGCTGTTTAATTAATTGATTGGATTCCGTAAGGTTAAAATTTCCATGGATCAAAAGTCAGAAGAGAGCAGCAGAGACCAACCTTGTTGCAACCAGGAACAAGATCTTGGAGAAGCTTCATTCGCTCGCTGATCTTCTCTCTTCTAACCTGTAATCATCATCATAATTCGAATGCTCGTTAGTTTAAAACAGGCCGGGAATCAGAGACTGACTTTGTTTCAGCCATTAATAGAAGGAAGAGATTTGCTCACTCTTTCAGCAAGGCTGTGACTGTCAGTAGCTTGCCCTCTCCTCGCCCTCACATGGATGTAGTCCTTCATGGGTTCCACCGGCTTCGACTCGTTATTGTTACCCTTGCTATGTTTCTCCTCTCCGCCGCCGCTGTTCCCCGCCGCCTCTGCGTCTTCCTCCGCCGCCTTGGCGGGGGACTTGCTCTCGTTGTTTCCATTTCCCTTGCTCCGCTTCGCAGTTGGGTTCTCGTTCGTTTCCACTTCCTGGAAACAACACAGGCAAAATTCTCAGATTGAAATTGGCGGAAATTGGATTAGGATTTTAGGCGGTATTACTATTCTTCTAGACATTTTTTTTCCACCTTTGCGGTGCTGGCATTGGGTCGGGCGGCGGCCGATTCTTTGGCTTTCCCCTTCGGGGCGGCTTTCCTTTTCCTGGGATTGGGCTCGTTGGCGGCTGCGGCGGCAGCCTTTCCGCTGCCGTCTCCGGCGGCGTTGGGAATCCGCTGCTCCGATAGTGAAGATTCTTCAGGGGAGGCAGAGGAATTGCCCAATTCACCACCATCCTGGCGCGGAGGAGGAGAACCCTTGTTCCCCTTTTGAGATCCGAGCGCCTTTAGAGAAGGGCTGCTGGAAACACGGGGCAATTTTCCGCCACCGAGGCTCCCGTTCATTGCCGGAAGAGCATTCAAACCCCCGCCGCCGCCGCCGCTCATCTGGACCGTCCTGCCGTTGAAGCTCCGGCTCCCGAAGCAGGAGAACCTGGCGGCTCTCTCCGCGAACCCGGGATCGGCGCTGAATTCCGCCACGCTGGAATTGAGACCCATCGTCTTGACGAACTGATCCATTCTGGGGAGGCTCAGCTTGGGCGGGGAGCTCAAAGGGGTGCTATAACACGAATTGCTGGCGCTGCCGCCGTACGATGAAGCCGCCGCCAAGTGCGGCGAGATCTCACCGGGATTGTTGCTGCCGTGGCCCCCGATGTTGCCCAATTTTCCAATCAGCTCCCTTATCATGAAGCTCTCGGTGGGAATGTTGGAATTGGAAGCCGTGGGAGAGGAAACCATGGAGCTGAGCGCCGACTCGTACTGGAGGCCTCCGGTGTGGTGATCCGTTGACCTATCCCAATTGGGGTTTCCGAAGAAGCAATCAGGAGGAGGCTGCTCATAGTTGGCATTACTCATATCCATGGCCGAGGAAGAGTGAGGGAGGGAGCGCCAGGCGGGCATCGGAGGAGAATTGGAAGAAGTTGGGTTGAAATGCAGAGGCAATGGCGGGACTGGATTCATCCCTGCGTTGAGGAAGAACTCGCTCTCCATCAGTGGATGCCAGTCTAGTCTTGTCTAGTCTGGTCTTCAAGTTTTCGTTTTCAAATGAATCGAAGGAAACCCAATTGGGGGAAAGAGGGAGGGTGGAGAGGGAGAACCGACTATGGCGTTAAGATTTGAGGAGCAAGAGGAAGAAGAGAAGGGAAAGGGGAGGGGAAGTTCGGTAAAAGGGCAATGATGTTTGGTGAATAAAAGCTAAGCAGAAAAAGGGGAAAGGAAGAAGACATAAGCAAAGAAGGGGAAAGGAGGGGGAAGGATGGAGTTTTATAGAGACATGGAACCGTACTAATTACTGCAATTGAATTGGTTTCTTGCTTAATGGGTCGGGTTTGTATAACCCAAACCAACCCATGGCTACACTCATTAAAACAACTGGATAAAATATTCATTGGATTCTAGAAGTAAACATTCGTTCAACCGTAACTCAACGAGTATCCATGAATATCTAGATATTCATGGGTTCAAAAACATAGTCATATATAATTTATTAGAATAATCACATCATAATCAGGTGCGGATCTGTGTCTCTGTGGACCGAGAAAAAAGGGGCTCAGTAAGAAGAGGATTGTATCATGAGAGAAGTAAGGAGGTCAACCTCTTTCAAATATACAACATAGATTCTGGCAATGCAATGTAGTTGGACTCTCATGTCGATCCGAATGAATCATCCTTTCCACATCCAGGACACACCTAATATTTTGTGAAAAATTAACGATCTCTGATACTAGTTTGAGTTTGGAGGTCGAATCTATAGGCATTGAGACATCCCTAAAATTTGAAACATCCTATTAGTAGTTTGGATTTGGAGACAAAGGAAAAAAAAGGCTTAATTGCAAGTTTGGTCATTCGAATTGCTATAAAATTTCACGTTTGCCACTCAAATTAATTTATTCCATTTATAGTCACTCGAATTAGTTGAACAGTTCAAGTTCGGTCACTCTCCGTTAACTTTGACTGACGTGGCGGTCAACTCTGACAGTTGACCGTTAAATGTATGACGTGGCAAATAAAAAATAATTAAAAATTAAATTTTATGAAATTACACATCATTATCACAAAAAAATTATAATTATAAAAAATGAAAAAAAGAAATTTGAGGCGGACCCTGTACGGGATGGACGCGTCCAGATCGATGTAGTTCCACGCGCGCTCTGTAACAAAAACCACCGCTCCTCCCCTGTTTTCCCCTGCCTCCGCCTCTGCCGCGTCCTCTGCCTCTGCAAGCCGGAAATCCCCTGCTTCAACATAGCCTCTCTCCAGGATATGACCGTTGTGAGAGGTGCCAGTAAAGATACGAGTGAGAGGGACAAGGGATTTTGCTGTTGGTGCTTTTGCTTCGAGCTGCGGATAAAAAGCTTTGTGGCAGCAGCTCCTTTATCTAACTTTTGATAAGCACAAGGGCGAAGGTATCCCAAGGACTTTGAGAAATAGAGATCTCCCTTTTGTTTTTCCCGAGGAGCAGAGGCATGTCAAGGAAGAAGATGGAAGCATGAAGATTGTTCTTGATCAAGGCGATGAAGGAAACGGGCGACTTGTGATGATACGACGTCGGGTTTTGCCATCAATACATCGTCATTCACCGAGAGGCAATTTTGAACAAGGGCGACGTCGTTTTTGTGTCCAAGTATTCCAACACACTCGACGGCGGTCGGATCGCTCGTCGGCGGCGCGGAGAAGCCGGCTCTGATACCCCTGGGTGAGGAGTCGGCGAGGGATGCGGGGAGCAACGACTCAGATTGATGTAGTTCGTTTCTTCTCTGGCCATCCGATCAGAGAGAACAACACCAAACCTCCTGAAAATCTCGTCGACGACTCCAGACGGCGGACCCAATTGACGGACGAACAACGGCTCCAGCACAGCTCTCATCCCTTTCGCCACATTGCAGCCGCGATCTTGTAACCCTTCCGACAACTCTGGTTCACCGTCGTACGCATTCCAGCTCGATTCCCAAACCTTCAACCGATCAATCACGAAGGCGCCATGTTTACAAACTTGATCTTTTCAGGAGGTTTGGTGTTGTTCTCTCTGATCGGATGGCCAGAGAAGAAACAAACTACATCAATCTGACCGTCTCCTTGACCAAGCTCTGATAATTAGAAACTAAGCTCGTGCACAGCCGCTGCGGGGAGCAACGGCTCTAATTACCGTGGAAGGAATTTCTTTTATTTTTTATTTTTTATAATTATAATTTTCGTGTGATAATGATGTGTAATTTCTAAAAATTTAATTTTTTTTTAATTATTTTTTATTTGCCACGTCACACATTTAACGGTCAACTGTCAGAGTTGACCGCCACGTCAGTCAAAGTTAACGGAGGTTAACGGAGAGTGACCGAACTTGAACTGTTCAACTAATTCAAGTGACTATAAATGGAATAAGTTAATTTGAGTAGCAAACGTGAAATTTTATAGCAATTCGAGTGACCAAACTTGCAATTAAGCCGAAAAAAAAATGACAGTCTTTTGATTCAGACCCCGTAACACTATAATTATTAGAGAAAATATTATCCATTATACTAAAAAATAATTGTTTTTGTCTTTAAAACATAAACATAATTATATTAAAAAGACCAATTAAAATCTGATTTTCATAATTTTTTCATCCAAACACTGAAAACTAAATTCTCAATTCCCACCCTTCATCACCATGAGGTTGAATTATTTTACTCAGTTCTAGATATTCAACTGCAAGAGTTGAATGATTGATTCATTATGTGCAATTCATTGTCAATAGTTAGCATGTTTCAATCACTACTCCATCCTAGACCAAGTTTAATCTAAAATGTCGTTGTCATATACTGGCAATCAAGGTCGTGTTCACTTGGGTATCGGTACCCTAGCCTACTTTCCACGTTGTTGTTATCTAGCCGATCGGTTTAAAGTGTTGCGATGGAGGATTCAAGCGAAATAACTAGTAGAAGGAACAAATAAGGATAAAAGCACGTACTTCGAGGAACTGATAGGGGGAGGCATGAAGTTCTCGACTAGGCCCTACACTAATTAATTATTTGTATCTCGACCTAGAACCACTGCATCCGCATCTGGACCGACCAGGCTATTACTATAGCTATTCAAAAGAGTTGCTTGCGAAAGTTTTCTTTTCTTAGTTTCTTCACTGATACAGAAAGTAGCTAGGCTTCCCGGTGGTATGAAAGAAATAGATCTTAGTAAAGGATGGGAAAAAGCTGGCTTGCTTGCTACTTTGACTAGAGCACATAAGGCCAATGTTGCAACGTTAATGAACCACTATCCCTCACCCTAGTCTAGGACTACTATGCAATGTCTAAATTAAGTTAGGCTTCACGAATGTAGTGAGTGAGCTCTTTTCCATGGGCTTTCGTGGTTATCCACACACCTCCGAGTACGCCTCCCCTAAACCCATGTCAGTCACCTCGATCTAGGCTATCGTATCTGGGGCATTAAGAACATAGCTCATTTCAATGGGTACTACCCACCATCCACACCGAGGTTTCATCCCGGGTTCTATCTAGGAAGGCATTCTTATGACAGAGGCACGGTCGCCTAGTCCACCATAAGATCCTATTCATTCATCTAACCCTAATTTGCTTGATGGCGCATACGCGTATAACCCTAAAACTCCATACACAGCGTAGAAGCAGGTGTAGACCAGTAGAGAAGATTAGGGCGACTTAACCAAACACAGTTGAAGCTATAGAAGCAATAAAATCGATTAGATAAACACATTCATTAAAAAACCTAACATATTCATACATTACACAATAGCCCTAAAACTAGGGTATGAGGTTGAGAACTCCTAGTACCTTAGAAGACTACTCCATAAAGGAGGGAAGAAGATACATAGAATAATTTGGGAAAGACTTGATGTTGAGAAAGATGGCTCCTCTCTTCTAGCTCCTCCTTCTTCTTCTCCTCTTCTCCTTCTTTCAGCTTCTCTCTCTTCTCCCTCTCTCTAAACCAGAAATTTCTATCTCAAAATAAGTTCTCTTCAAATGGGGGAAGGGGTCCTCTATATATAGACTTCAAGGGACGGACAAGTTCATGGCCATGAAGGGGGAAAACCACGGTCGTGAACTTTTCCAAAGAGGCCGTGAAGTTTTCCATCTTGACATCTTCCCATTTGTAATACTTGTGAAAATTGGGGATTGGATTTATCTTGTAGCTTATCTCCTCCTCTCCAGACCTTAAGGTGATCTTGCTCCCACTCACATCGATAATGGTCCTTGCCATAGCTAAGAATGGTTGGCCTTGGATTATCGATGCATCACACCCTTCCACGTCGAGAACCACAAAGTCCACGGGATAAACAAAATGGGCACACTTCACCAAGACATTCTCTATGAATCCTCTTGGCTCGACAACGGACCTATTGGCCAACTCAATCTTCATTTTAGTAGGTATGGATGGTCCAAAGTCTAACTCATTGTATATTCTTGTAGGCATAATATTGATACTAGACCCCAAATCTGCTAGCGGATTCCGAAAGGTTTTGACCGCGAAGGTGCATGGAATAGTGAAAATTCACGGATCTCTTAATTTTGGAGGGAATCCTTCACATCCGATGGATGCTGAAGCAACTTCGCTAACGGATACCATAACAACTTCTTCCATTTTCCTTTTTCCCGACAATATTTCTCTAAGAAAGGGGTTGTTACCTTTAATTGCTTCAAGGTATCCTTCCATTGAGCACATTCATGATATAGATGACTTTAGAATAACTATCTAGGATAAGGAGCTTTTGGTGTTGGATCGGGTGCTTGAATATTCTTAGACTTCTCCTCATCTCCAATCTTGATTTCAATAGGAGGTTGCAATTCTTCCCGAACTAACTCTTCTTCTTGAACAACTTCACTTTGAACCTCTATTATCGGTATCCTCGGTGTTGAGATAGGAACCTCCTTCAAAGATCGGCCACTCCTAAGAGTTACCACATGACATTCCTCCTTAGGATTAGGTTCGTATTGCACGATAAAGTTCCTTGTGGTCTTGGCGATAGAATTTGTGCCAATGAGCTTAGTTGGGCTTCAAGATTTTGAAGTGAAGCTTGTTGATTCCTTTGACCGGCTTCCAAACTTGAGAATTTGGTCGTGGCATTCTCTATAAATTTGCTAATAGCCTCAAACTTCTTGTTGGAGTGTGTAACAAATTGACCTACCAAGTCTTCAAGTTTAGAGACTCGACCATCGGTGGGAAGACTTTGTTCTTGATATGCCCCTTGGTATGAGGGTTGAATTGGTCTTGGATAAGCATTTTGCATAGGAGCTTGAGATCAAAACCCCGGAGGCTTTCTATCCGTCGGAGAAGACCAAAGAAAGTTATGATGGTTCCTCCACCCCGGGTTATATTTAGAGCTATAAGGGTTGTTTCTTCGGGATTTCCCTCCAACAAAGTTGGCGTGCTAAAATTCTATTGACGCCTCAATCATAGACTTACACTCCTCCACAGTGTGACTTGAGTCGCCACACCAATCACATTTCATGAGTAGCTTCCCATTGCCTTTCATTGATTACGCAACTTGATCAATTTTCTTGGAAATTTCTTGTATATGAGCCACTAACGACGATGGTTCATTGACTTTCATTAAACTTCCCTTCTTCACATTCTTGCCTCTCATTCCGTCTCCCCACTCGTAGCTCTTTAAGGCCATTTCTTCAATTAATCTTGAAGTTCACCGACTTCCCTGTTTTTCTTCTTTTTTATTAGGGATTGGGATTTCATTAAGATTTGATGAATGGGCATATTAAAGCCAAAGACAATCAATCAAAAGGGGGTGTTGGGGTTAGAACTGCTCCTTTAATTAATCACTAGTTAAAGACAAATTATGTCATTATTGGTTGTATTAAATTATGTGGACTGGACAAAGAGAGTCCCAGGTTGGCAGGCAGTGGTGAGGTTTTGACTAGGCGGTTGAAACCGTTGCTCTTTTTTCTCCGTGTACCTTGGACGATCTTGCTTTGCAATTTGGGCACTTCTTGACCCAAACTCCTCTAGTGGCAGTTGGACCAGATATTTGGCCGCCAATGGTTTCTTTATCAGCTTGGGCCAAGTCTTCTTCCTATGAGTTTGTCTTGCGATTGTTAAGCGACTTCTAGTTGAGTTATCTGTCATTGAACCTCATCTTTCTCATGAAAGCTCCCTATTCTTCTATTTTATAGCTTCTTTGGTTCTTCAATGCTTGATCCAATGTTCCTTAGGTTGTTTTATACCTTCAAAACCAACTAAAATATACCCATAAGGCATCAGTGAATAGAAAAACATAACCTAGGTCTATCAAAGACTCATTAATCAAATGATTGTGATTTAGATAGGAAATTCCATTTAAGTGACTAAAAATGTCTTGATAGAAGGGAAAAATATATCAAGAATAGGAGTGACAAACACTATAAATAAAGTGTCATCAATGGTGCTTGCATGAGGACAGTGGAAGGCTATTTCGAGCCTTTGTCTTCAACTTGGGTGGCGAATTTGTTAATCATGTTGAGCTGACAGGTATACCGTATAGCGTATAGACTATGCATTTGATGGGTTGCGGGCATTCTTCAAGTCAAGGTTCGAACTGACTCCCACATGACCATCAAGCTTTTGAAGTTAATGTCGATAGGAGACCGACACTATGTTATGATCATGGCTGTCCGGAACCTACTTCAGCGAGACTGGCAGGTTAGCATTACACATGTTTATAAAGAGGGGGATTTTATTGCTGATTATTTAGCTTGTCTTGGCCACAGTTTTTTTATTGAGGTCCATCTTGTTGACGCTCCCAACAAGATGCTGAATTATTGGTTGATGTACGACCTTGTAGGAGTCTCTTCTTTGCGCCTTACTAATAACTGAGGTAGAGTGCCCCTTTGTGTTCTGTTTTGCACACCAAAAAACAATACATTCACT